CCTTTGCCTGGCTCTCGGGGTGGGGGGGATTTGATTGGGGGAGGGCTCCCCGCATTGGGGGTGCCTAGCTCTGGGGGAGGAGAGGTGAATGGATGGAGGGGTAGGGGTGGCTCTGGGGGAGGGGTAAGTGCATTGGGATGGGGGGCATTGGTGTGGCCTTGCTCTGGGCACAGGTGAGTGCAATGGGATTGGGGGTACTTGGGGGACTGACTCTGGGGCAGGGATGGTTGTATTGTACTTAAAAGTACTGCATGGAATCTGTTATCGGTAATACACACATATAGCAGTCAACACTTCCATCATATAATACAGCACACACACACACATGCACACGCACCATGTCTTGTTTTTACCAATAGCTGTTCCACCTAACTGCTGGCCAGATTAGTTAGTTGGGGGAAAGCTGAAGCCGGATCAAAGCTCGCATGTTGACTGTAAGATGCCTGTAAGATGCATGTAGAATGTAGACTCATGCAGAGAGTCATCACATGCCTATGCAGTTATTCCTCTATGGCACCTTCTTGTGGGTGTTGTTTTAATGCTCCCCCATTCACCTTCAAAGAGGGAGCTTCCAAAAGCAGGGGCCTGCTGCTTACTCCCAAAGAATCCATAGATCCAGTCTTCTTTCAATGAGTTCTTATTGTTCTTGAATCTGGCTTCCACCTTTCTCCAACCATGGCAGGTGTCCTGCTAGTGGGGCGCTAATTTAGTGCCCTTTCACTCCCCGTCATCCCTCTGCTGGCCCGCTCCACCTCTGCCCACTGCTACCGGCTGGAGACACCTCCTTCCCGCCTCCTGGCCCCCAGCCTCACTCTCCTCCACCTCTGCCAAAGGGTTAGTGTGTGCAGGGGCCTGGCCCCAAACTGGAGGGAGTGGGGTAAGATGTGGTACAAGCTACCCCCCTCTCCCAGGGCCCGGCTCAGCCATGCACCAGGTTTGGGGGGGGAGAGCAAATTTTGCCTTCACCCCCAGGCACATAACACCCTCGCTACGCCTCTGCTGCAAAAGGATTTTTCATTAGAGAAACGTGGCTCAACAGGGTTAGAAGGGACGGCATGGGCCAGCTAGTCCAACCCATGACAAATGGCAGGCATCATTGTAGCTAACCCCTCCAGGGCAGATGCTGTCCAGCCTCCCATGGGAAACCATCAATGAACAACCTCCATGACCTCAAGGTGTCCATTCCATTCTCATTCTGTTCTTACCATGGAGGAACATTTGATAGTTGTGTCAATATTGACCATTGAAAGTGCCTCTGTACAAACTGTTACAATGACTTAATTGACGATTTTGTAAAGACAAAGTGTAGAAAGGGAGCCAGCTGGATTTTTTTTCCAAAATAAATACGTTTCTTCAGAGGAAGTCAACTTCTATTTTTTTCCACACATACGTCAGCTATACATTT